CCTCCCTCCCTCCCTCCCTCCCTCCTACTCTTTCACTCTCACAGGCCAGAGCATCCTTTATCCTAGCAGTGAGCCGTGCACCCTCTGCCCCATCCCTTGGTCCCCAGGCTGGCCCCACTCATCCCCTAACCCGGATCAGCCGGTCCAGCGCCGGGTCATCCAGACACGTGAAGTTCTTCAGCAGTTCCCACTTCTCACGCTGCAAGCTGCGGCTGTGGCTCTGAGCTGCGCGACCCTCCAGCGCCCAGAACACGCAGGCGCCCAGCATCAGGTAAGCCAGGTAGGCCAGCAGCAGGAGCCCGGTGCCCGGCATCCCGCAGCCCGGAGCCCAACAGGGTGCTGCTCTGGCTCCTGGTCTGCACATGATGGAGAGGCAGGGGCGCAGGAGTGAGATTCCTGGACAGGAACCCGGATGGGCAGGAAGGGTCAAGAGGAGCTGGTTGGCCTCTAAATAAACTCTTGTGACTGGTTTTCCTCTGAGGAGGAGTCTTGGAGGGTGGGAGGGCCATACCCACCCGCAGAGATCCAATCCCAGGACCAAAAAGATCTCCCAGGCCAGGAGATGGAGAGCCCACACCCGATCTAAATCAGGGGGAAGAAGAGGGCTCCTGAGTGGCCACAGACCAGGGAAAGGAGGGACCCAGAGCTCCCCAGCACTTCCTGATTGTGGGAGAGACTTCTATAATCAGAGGTTCGAGAGCAGAACTTTAGAAGCCAAGTTTATTATTAGGGCTCCTGCCTAAATAGCTAGACCTGGGACTTCCTCCAAGTTCTTGCTGTGGTCAAGTTCATCCTAAATTTCTCTACAATCGGTGCACCCAAGGAAAGGGGGCCCCAGCAGGGTATGGTGTGTCAGTGTGTTTGGGAGGCAGAGGCTTGGACCAGGGGCTTGTCCCCTAGGGCTCTGGAGGAGGCCTCTGAGTGCCATCCACCCAGAACAGAGGCAGGATCCAGGATGTTGGAATTGATGGATGACTTAAGATTTAAGGTCTTTCCTGGGTGGCAGCAAGTCCTGGGGTGGAGGTGGGATTCCTCTGCTGCTGTGGTCCTTCCTTGGGCTCCCCCCAACCTCTTGGGCTCACAGTCCCTGCCAGCTTTGCCTCTGGGATGGTGGGAGACGATGAAGCTGGAGTTCCTGTTCCTTGTGAGACTGGGAATTGGGACAGAGTGAGCCAAATCCTGCCTCTCCTATGGCCCTTAGTGTTGCACTCTGGTAGATGGGCCGGGCCTGGTGAGTGGGTTCCCATGGGATCCCAGGTCACCAGGGAGCTCACTTCCTACCAGGCTCCTGGAATCTACTGGCTCTCTAGCTTCTCAGGGTGAGTGATAAAGTTCAGGGGGTGGTTCAGGGGTTCAGGAGAGATCATGCTCAGGGGAGCAGTGGAACACCCAAAAGAGGTCCAAAGCGCTGTAGGTGAGGGGACTGGAGAGCTCCAACAGGCAAGCTGCCTGCTCCTCAAGTATGAGCCTCCTGAGGATACCCTCCTGTTTGCACTGAGAATGTCCCAAGGTGTGTGATCAGCCTTCCACCCCTAGCTGCTGCACTGAACTCTCATTCCCCCGAGGTTTGATCCCATCAAGGCTCTGTAGGCACTACACTGGGGCCATCCTTCCACATGTCCTATCCTTCCAGACTAAAGACACAGCGAAGGCAGGAGTGGTCACTGTCGCATCCCCAGAGTCTGACACAGTGCCTCGCACAAAGCAGAGGCTTGTTGAGTACATAGCAAATAACATAAGTATCAAGTCAGCCTTCGCTTGCTGTCCAAGGGGTATGTGAGGGTGGCAGTGGTGATTTGGCAACTGTGATCCATGTTGGGTTTGACTTTTCTAGGTCTCTTTGGTGGCTAGGGGAAGGGGGGCTCTGGGGTCAGTGTTCGCAGCTCCATTCACACACGTCTTTGATCCGGTCTCGGCATCTCCCGTTACTTTGTAGGCACACCTGTTTCCTTTTGCTGTCTGGAGAGTTGCTGACCAGTCCTGGCTGGGAATGTGTGGGTTGGGAAGGAAGAGGAAGGGAGCAGGGGGTGGTCTGGATTTGAGGAGGGCAGGATGGGTATCACTTGGGGCCTCATGCAGACATGGGGGTCTTCTGAAGTCTGGGGTCAGAGTCCTGGGCTGTCCCATCCTTGAGGTCCAGGCCCCTGATGAGCAGCCAGAGCCGAGAGCACCTGTGCAGAAGCAGAGGCCCCAGACTGAGGACCACTGCCAGCCACGCAAGCCCTAGGAGGATCCATACAGCTGCCAGGCTCCGGTACACAGCAATGTAATGCTTGCTGGGGTCTGTGCCTGCCAGAAAAGGAGATGGCAGGTGTGTGAGAACACTGCTGCCCTTGGACTTCTTAGGGATGCTCCTTCCTGGTCCTCATAAGAAGAATCAGTGATAGAGGAAGCAGCCATGGGTCCCAGACCAGAGCTTTCTGAGGATGCTACCAAGAATCCACAGTGACCTCAGAAGGAATCAACCTCAGTAGGTATCTCCCTGTCCCCCTGAATTCTAGTGGGTGCCCCCCAAGATACCTGACTATCTCATCCTCACCGACAACGTAGTCCCCGAAGCCAATGGTGCTGAGGGTGATGAAAGCAAAGTAGAAGCCCTCGCCGAAACTCCAGCCCTCCACATGACTGAAGAACATGGGCGGGAAGATGAGAATGACCAGGGTCCCCAGGGTCAGGAACAGAGCGAGGCCCAGGACCTGCAGGAGCTGGGAGGGAGGGTCTGCCCTTGAGACCACTTAGAAGGCGCTTGTCCTCTGGCCACCATCCTTCATCCTTCTTTGATGGAGAATCTGAACAGCCTTCTCTCTGTGGTCGTCACAGACTCCAACATCCTTTCATGTGGTCCAAATGGTCTCCAGGCCACCCAGCATGCCCCTGGAGCCCACTGCCATGAAGGGACCTGGGACAGTTTGGTGAGAGTTGTCCTATTCAGATCTGAGTCCCCCAGGGAGTATATGGGGGAGGTTTGGAGGAAGTTGAGTGGGGACTGGTCAATAACTAAGTCCCTCTCCTACTCTGAAGACCTTTGGGTGGGGCTGTCCCCATAGGCATGTGACACGTCTGTGCCAGAGAATATTTGGGTAGGGGGATGTGTTAGTGGATCTAGGAGGGATCTGAAGACCCCTTTGAACTTGAGGATCACACTTGACCAGGTTCCCTTGGGGACTCAGGTCTGGGATAGGTCTACTGTCACCAAACTGTTCCAGGTCCCTTCATGGCAGCAGGCTCTGAGGGGCACATACTATGTGGCCTGGAGACTATTTGGACCACCTGAAAGGATGTTGGAAAACTGTGATGACCACGGAGAGATGCTGTCCAGACTCTCCATCAAAGGATACTGACCAGAGGACATGGGTTGCAGAGGGCTGCCTGGTGCATGGGCACAATGTTCCCGGGAAAGTCACATCTAGCCCTGACCCTCAGCCCTCTGAAGGTAGACTCTGTGGTTACAGGTGCTGCCAGAGAGCTTTGAGGCCATGCCCTGCCCAGCTTGCATTATCCTTCCACTTCTCTCTACAAAGCCCTGCAGCTACCCACACTGTTCCTCGGGTGTCTGCCCATTACCCTGTACTCCCAAACCCATCTCCACATCTGTAGCTAATCTGTCCCACAGGCTGGAGGGAAGGGAGGACCCTACCTGAGAACGCCTGGGATGGTCCTCCCACCTGTCCAGGGTGGTCAGGTGGGTACGCAGTCCTGTGCCCAGATGGTTGAGGAAGACCACGTTGAGTGGGATGCCCATGAGAGCATAGAAGACGCAGAAGACCTGCCCTGCCTCTGTGCTGGGTGCCAGGTTTCCATATCCTGCAGAAGGTTGGCAGTTTGCAGGTCAGGGGAAGAGAGCCCTCAGAGCTACCACCTGCCAGCTCCCTAGCTCTGCCAGGCTTGTGTCCATTACTTCTGTGGGAAGACGAGATACTCCCTGTTCCCATGGATACTCATTCCAACCTCTGCTAGAATGATCTCTATTTATAGAAGGCTCATCTCCAATGATGCTGCCTCCATGAAGCCCTCCTGACTGTCACCCTCTGCCTCCTTGTCAGGCATGATTCCCTGCAATGCTTCCCATTATTCTATCTAATTACTCACTTTGTCTTATATAATTATAATAATCTGATCCCTCTTTAGTGGACTGGAAACTCTTTGAGAGCCAAGCCTGGGTCAATCCAATTTTGTACCTCCCTACCCTCACCCCATCACTCGACCTAGAATGTGTGGAATTGGAATTGGGCTGAACTGAATGGAAGAGAGGCCTGTGTGAAAGAGGCCTGAGGATTCCCTGGGGGTGGGAGAGGCAGGCTTCCTGACACTGCCCCATCTCCTGGGGATGCTGGGATATCATCTGCAGCTGTGATGGACAGTCCCTGTACACAAATAACTTCCCACCTCAAGTCATTGCTTCTCTCTATATATATTCCTCTCTCTCTCTCTCCTCTCCTTCCTTCCTTCCTCCCTCCCTCCCTCCCTCCCTCCCTCCCTCCCAATTCTCTCGCTCTCTCCTTGAGAGGACCTCCTCTCTCTCTCTCTCTCTCTCTCTCCTTGAGAGGACCTCCTGGTTCCAGATGTGAATTTAGTCTGCCACCAGCTACACAGTATGAGAGAGTTAACACACCAGGACCAGCCGTCTGGCAGCATGGACTGAAGTCAACAGAAGGATAGGCTCTCATTCAGGGCTCTGCCTACCCCCTCAGAGGGCCCCAGGGAGTTGAGCCCAGCCACCCACCGCAGCAGCTAGCTCCCAAGTGCACGCCTGATTGATTGGCTTCCTCTTTCGCTGGTCTCACCTGCCCACTTCCTGTGTCACCTCCTGGATGAACCACATCCTTGTCCCAAGCTGAGACAGGGCACTGGGGGTGGGGGGGGCTCCCACCCAGACTCTTTACCTATGGTGGTGACCACTGTGCCTGCAAAGAAGAAACTGCTGCCGAAGTCCCAGTTGCTGGGGTTGGTGGAATTGCCTTTGGGGTTCACACCTTTCACCCAGGCTTCCAGAATGACCTGCAGGGGTGGAGTGGGAGGGATAGACAGTAACTGAGTGACAGCTGTCACCAGACCCTCAGGAGGATGCTTTTGGGTGCACAGATTTAATGTCTGTTAGTATCATTCCCATTTCACAGAAAAAGACATGAAGATTTTGAATGTTAAGAGACTCGCCCAAGGTCATTGAACTCCAAGTGGCCAGAACTGACTGAAGTGTGGATGTTAATGGGCCTGCTGGAGTGCCAGGGGCCTAAGGAGGGGGTGGGGAGATGCTCTTGGTGACCAGGAAGAACGATATGATATCTCTGTTTCTGTCTCTGTCTGTCTCACACACACACACACACACACACACACACACACACACACACACACACACGTGTGTGTGTGTGTGTGTGTGTGTGTGGTAGTTAGGACAAAGTGGGGGGGATTCATTTTGAATGCTTCTGGAACGATCTGTGGAGAGACATGGGGTCTAGGGCTGCTCTCCCTTGAGCAGCTGGTGGTCTTCCTCTTTTGCGCCCTCTAGTAAGCCTAGCCCATGTCCACAGGAGAAACTGTACCAGAGGCCAACACCAGGTTATGTGTGCGTGCACATGTGTATACAGCAGTACTGTGCACATGTGGTGTGTTGTCTCTGTGTACTGTGCACGTGTATATTTTTTGTGTAATCTATCCTTGTGTTTCTAGAACATTAGCTTTAGCAGGCTCAAGCCTGAGTCCTCAACTTCATGTGGGGAGTGGGCAGGGTCCCTCTCCCCAACTCCAGCCCTCTTCCCTTTAGCTGGAGACTTGTCCCAAGGGTACTCAGCCTTGCCACCTGGCAGCATCCCAAAAGTAGGGAGCTACTAGGGAGTGTGTCTGTTCCTGCCTCCTTTTCCTGTGGGAATTGCTTCCCACCAGCTGGGTGGAGGCCTCCCAGACTTCACTTGGGCAGGAACTAGCCTCTTAAGATGTGGACTTTGTCCTCCTCTTTCCCACACAGCCAGAGAGCTGGGCCAGGACATTCCTGAACATGTTCCTTCCCTGGAGACCCTCAGATTTGGAGACAGCATTTGCCATAGTCCTTGACTGTCCCTACTGTACCTCTGGATGGCCTTCCATCCTGTAGAGAATAGGCTCTGAGGTCTCTGGGGGCCCTGAGTGTGGCTGAGTAGCTTCCAGTGACTGTGGCATCTTCGTTACTGAGAATCACTGGTAAAGGAGAAAGAGGCAGGTATGAAAGCCTGAGTTGTCACTGAATTTAGCACTGTTTATTGGCTGTGTGACTTCCTCAGAGAGAGGGGTCCCACAGAATCTTATTTCAGTATTCATCTGCCTCCTAGATCCACTTCCCGTGGCTGGTAAGGGTCTGTCCTGAGACTAAGGATTCTCAGGGATATGAATGACTCATCTTCACTAGGGAGTCCTTGGGGATAAGCACTGGTCTCGTTGGGCTGCAGTTAGGCCTACAGCCACCCTGTCCTTGACTAGAGGATTGATTGGAGCTTAGCCACCAATCTACCCAGTCTACCCACTGCTCATTCCTGGTTCCACCTCCAGACCAGGGCTGAAGCAGGAGGGTGTCTTGGGGTATCCGTAACTCTGCCTTACTCCTGAGGCTTCTGAGTTTGTTTTGGCCTGGATGTGGGTACCATTCAAGTACCATTCCTGAATAACTCTATATGCCAGGGGGTGTGTCCTGGACAGTCCCCTTTGTCCACGCATCCCACCTCTCATCCTGTAGACCAGTTGTTCTCAGTCTCGAGAGCAGTGTCAGAACCTCTGTCACCTGGTGGCCTTAACCTCAGTGTCTGAGTCAGCAGGTCCAAAACCTGCTTTCCAACAAGCTCTCAAGTGCTGCTGCTGGTGGTCCACAGGCCTCCCTTTGAGCAGTACACTGCCCCCAGCATGCATGCTAATTAGTGTGTTGAAGAACAAGAGTTTGCCAGCTAGGGCATGGATTCGAGTTCTGCCTCAGCCAATAACTAGGGCCTTGGCCAACCCCCTGCATTTCTGTCTCAGCTTCTATCTGCAATCTGGAGATGCTTATCATAATAAACAGCTGGGAGAAAACACCTGTAAAGTGCTCAGCCCCACATGATGGATCATGATGGATCAGAGTCCTGGTTCCCGCCCCTTAATGCACGTTGGAAATACTCAATAAAGACCAGTTATCAGTGTGTGGATTCTATGCTTGATCTGCTTCTTTTCAGGGACTAATGTCATTGCTCTACCCATTGTCTCCAGTGTATATACTTTTCCCTGTGATACCTGGTTTTGCTTTGTTTCTGGGAGAGAGGGAGGCAGGAGGGGCCCAGACAGGGGGTGAGAGCAACCAGTGGGGTAGAGGGTTGGCAGAGTTCATCCACCTGCCCATTCGCCATGGGTTGGGCTCCAAGGGAGGGAAACCAGCATGACAGCTGGTCCTGACCTTTTTATCTGTGTCTCCCCTCAGGGACATAAGCTGGGTGCCGGCAGATGGAGCAGCAGCCCTGGAAAGTGGTGAGTGGAGAGAGGAAATTTCTAGAGTGTTGATAACTGACAGTACACATTCATGAAGCAGCTGCAAGAGGGCTTTTAATCTCCTGTCAAATGTCTAGAGCACAGATATATGCTCTCTCTCTCTCTCTCTCTCTCTCTCTCTCTCTGTAGATGTGTTTGTGTGTATGCAGGTATGCATGCTCATGTGTGTGCTTACACGTGAGGGCCAGTGCTCTGCCTCAAGTGTCGTTGCTCCAGAACCATCCACCTTGGTCATTTTTAAAAAATTAATTTATTTGGGACTGGAGAGATGGCTCAGCAGTTAAGACCACTGGCTGCTCTTGCAGAGGACTAGCGTTCGGTTCCCAGTGTGTGTGTGTGTGTGTGTGTGTGTGTGTGTGTGTGTGTGTATGTGTGTGTGTGTGTATGTGTACATGAACATGCAGATACGCATAGCCATGCAAGAGCTTGTAGAGGCCAGAGCAAGACACGGTGTCTTTCTGTTACTCTTCACCTTACTGTCTTTAAACAGGGTCTCTCACTGAACAGGAGAAAGAGTTCTGTCTTGGTTAGGCTGGTCCAGCCTGGTCAGTGAGCTCTCTGGATCTACCTGTCTCTACCCCCCAATGCTCCGGTCACAGGTATACATAGCCAGGCCTGCATAGCCATACCTGAGTAGCCATGCCAAGCTTTTTACACGGATACTGGGAATTCAAACTCAGGTCTCATGCTTACAGAGCCAGAACTCTTAGTGAGCCAGTTCTCCAATCTGCCTTATTTATTGAGATATGTCTCTCATGGATGTGTGACTGGCCCATTTGGCAAGACTGGCTAGCCAGAGGGCCCCAGGGATCTACCCATCTTTGCCTCCCCAGTGCTGGGATTATAAGCATGCACCACCATGCCTGGCTTTTTCTGTGGGTTCTGGGGATGGAACGCAGTCCCTCCTACTTGTACAGCAAGCACTTTACTGACTGAGCTGTCTCCTCAGCCCCAGATACACCTTTTCTCTTGATGGTAGCGATAAGGAATTTCAGGCTAAGTGATCTGATCAAAGTCACATAGTGATCTAGCTATAGATCAGAGAGTCAGGGCTCTGGACTGGGTTTCACTAGGCTCTAGTTCTCACTAAACTCAGCTTCCAAACAGGGAATCGGCCTTGGGTGGTGACTCTGCACCTGCCACCCAGCCCCCTCCATCTCCCTCTCCATTCCTCTCATCCCATCCCATCCCACTTCCTCACCTGCACAAACTGCTCCAGGGCCTGCTGGTCCAGACAGGTATAGTTCTCTAAGAAGCGCAGCTTTTCCAGCTGAAACTGGTCCCTGGATTGAGACTCTGCCTGCTTCTCAAGCAGCCGGAAGACGGTGGCCCCGAACAGCAGATAGCAGACATAGGCGAGCAGCAGGGGCAGTACCCGTCCCCTCCAGTAGCTGCAGAGCCCAGCGCGGGGCATGGTGCAGCCAGGACCCTGCAGGGGCTGTGAAGGTGGCTGTGGGGAGACGCAGGAAGAGGCGGGAAGAGCCGAGGGCTCCGGGTCCTGCCTGGCCAGTCCTCCACCGCACAGGTGTCTGAGGCAGGGGAGTCTGTTTGAACAGTGCAGTGTGCAAACAGGCCTGCCATCCCCCACCCGGCCTTGTTTTTTCATGCACTGTAACAAGGCAGCAAATGCCTGGGGCCCCTCACAGACACCTACCGGCTTCTCTTAAGCTCATCTGATCTCATCTTCCGCTTCCAAGCGGGGTGAATGTCTGTGGGACAAATCTGATAGGGGTGTTCACTCTGAGCCTCGAAGGGGCTCTTGGCAGCCCCAACTTCCTCACCTAGGAAGGCTCCAGGGAATGCTTCAGGGAAGCCTCATAAAGGTGTGGAATGGGAGGAAGAGGGTTGACCTGCGTATTGGGGGGACCTGAGGATGAGTTAAACTGGATGACAAATCAGAGCTATGTAAACAAGGAGATGACAGACTCGTTCAGCAGCAGCATCAGTTGGCTCTGCTGATGAACGAGTGCGAGTCCCTGACGGCATCACCTCTGTGGATGGGTGGTCTTGGTTGAGGCCCTCAAGCTGCTTACCTGGAGTATGCTATGTTTAGGAGACAAAAGTGTGAATGTGATGGAGACCTGGAGCTTCTCCATCCCACAGGGCTGTCAGTGGCTCCCTTCTCTGGCAGGTGGAGTCACAGTGCCTCCTTTCTTCATCTTTTTGTAGATGTAACAACTTTATTGAGATAGGTAACAGTTCACATGACAAACCATTCGTTTGTTTACTTTTAAAATTTTTATTTTATGTGTACGGATGTATCGCTTGCACGTGTGTAAGTGCACCATGTCATTCGGTGCCTGCAGAGGTCAGAAGAGTGTGTTGGATTCCCCTGGAACTAGAGTAATGGATGTTGTTCGCCATCACGTGGATGCTAGGAACCAAGCCAGGGTCCTCTGCAAGAGCAGCCAGTGCTTTTAACCACTGAGCCATCTCTCCAGACCCCTATTTGTTTACTTTTTATATCTACTTATTTTTAAGATTTATTTGTCTTTGTTATGTGTGTGTGTGTGTGTGTGTGTGTGTGTGCTTGTGTGAATGTATGCTGTGTGTGTGTGCATATGCCCACAAAGGCCAGAAAAAGGCACCAGATACCTTGGTGGTTGTGAGCTCCCTGATGTGGGTGCTGGGAACTGAACCATGGTCCTTCGAAAGAATAATAAGGGCCTTTAAGCACTGACCATTTCTCTAGCTCCCTTCCTTCTTTTTCTTTTGAGACAAGGGCTCATGTAACTTAAGATGACCTGAACTTGTCACATAACTGAAGGTGACCTTCAGCTGGTTAATCCTCCTATCTCCACCTCTCTTGTGATGGGATTACATGTGTGTGATAGGTGGGAATGTTGGAGAGGGTGGGGGAGAGAGAGCAGGAAGAGAAAGGTTTGGCTCAGGTCACGTAAAAACGAGAACGAGAAGAATCAGGCAACAAAAGAAAAGCGTCCTTTTTTCCTATTGCTGATTCAAGTTAAATTCCCGAACCCCAGGGCAGCGTCCTGCAATCACTGGGGGGGGGGAATACAAGTTGTGCGTGTCCCCGCCAGTGACCACAGTGTCCTGTAGTCAAAGGCAGGGCGGAACCTCCCATACACCGGTGTGATTTTGAGCGAGTAAAAATGAGTTAGGAGAGGTTCTGCAATGTGGTGCGTGACCAGCCAGTAGGAGCCAAAGTATAAGGAAACAAGGTAGTGGGCCCAGAGGCCGAGATGGACCGGGAATGGAGAAGAATGGAGAGGCCTAGCTGAAGCACAGAATAGCCAGTGAACGGAGGGAGAGGAGAGAGAGGGAGAGAGAGAGAGAGAGAGAGAGAGAGAGAGAGAGAGAGAGAGAGAGATGCTGTCCAGTGGCCTTGAGTGAGGTCTGGGAGTGACCGAATTTGATTGGAAAGGAGATGAAAAGAGAACTGGCGGAGAGTAGTGCAGGGGAAAGGGGAGAGAGAGAGGGAGAGAGAGCTGAAAGGAACGGGAGAGGGGAGAGAGATAGAGGGTGGAAGTGTACCTTAATGCCGAATCTGTGGTGTTCGCAGCGGCCAATAACGACAAGCGAGTCTGAAAGTTTTACGTGCAAGGTCCCTTGAAGTAAGAGCCGGTTTCGGCACTATCTGATAGGTGGGAATGTTGGAGAGAGAGAGTGTGCAGATGAATGGAGGAAGGCAGCAAGGCACAGATAGAATTCGCAGCAGGATACAGATGAGGCACCGAGGCACAGATGGAATTCTCAGCGGGATACAGCTTTATTTCACACAGGGCACCTTTCCCTTAGGGAAGGGAAAGATGTCAGCCCACGGGTTGTGAGCTTGGACTTTATATATGGGGGCTTTAGGGTGTGGAAGGGGGGAATGTTTGGGGGGAGAAATCAGGGAGGGGGAAGCAGGAAAAGCAGGTAGGATTAGGGTCTGGAAGTGTTTACTTTTTCCCTCTTAAATAAGAGAAAAACAGCTTTTAAAATCTCTGGTTATCAGGTAGAATAATCTGCTTATCCTATCTTTGGAGATCAGAGGAAAGGCAGGCTGCTTCTCAGCAGAGTTTGTTTCTCTTGACTTCAAAGGTCAAGGTGCTTATCAGCTAAGTTCCCTTTTTTGGGCTCCAAAGCCTGTAGGTCCCTGTTGGGGAAGGGGGGAAGCTGCTGCTGTTTGGAACCCTAACAGTGTGTACCACCCTGCTTGGTTTGTATGATGCTGGGCTCTAACCTAGAGCTCTGGGCCAGTTAGGCAAAAACTACCAACTGAGCTACATTCTAGCTAGGGTTTTCTGGGTCTTGAACACACTTCTGCCCTTGGGTGCTACACATGGGGCTATAGTTATTGAATTGCAGGTCTGGCTGCAAAGGGCAGGGAACGTGTCTTTCGGTGTCCAAGGCTATGCCAGCTCTTGTACTTCCTGCTTACGTGCATTCCTCCTTTTTTCATCGTGAGCCGCCCAACATGGACGTTGGGAGGTGAACTTCAGTCCTCTGGATGAGCAAGAAATGCCCTCTACCACTGATCCATCTCCCAGCCCATGTTAATTTTATTGTAAAAGACAAAACAGTGTAAATCAAAAGAAATCCTCACACCTCCACACCTCTATAGTTCTGCTTGTCCCTTTCACAGCATCTTTGCTTTGGTGGGTGTATTTTATTAGTATTACTTTAATTAATTTATTTTCATTATTTTTTTAAGTTGACATACAGAGTAATGGGTTTACTTATGGCATTTTCATACATAGACGTTATATTTTGTTCTTAATCATCTCTCTCCCTTACTGTCCTCACCCACTCTTTTAGTTTCATTTGTGTTGCTGTGATGAAATACTCTCACAAACAGCAGCTTAGGGGAGAAAGGAATTTACTCGGTTTACAATTCTAGGCTACAGTCCATCACTGAGGTATGTTAAGGTGGGAACTCAGGAAGTTGGCTACATGCACAGTCAAGAGCAGAGCCAGAATAAACACAGGGATCCTCTGCTCGCTCCATCAGCTCAGTTTCTTTTTTATATGTTTTAGGACCCCCTGTCTAGAGAATGGTGCTGCCCACAGTGGTCTGGGTCTTCCTACATCAATTAGCAATGTAGACAGTCCACTATGGACGTGGCCAGAGGCCAACCTGATCTACATAATTCCTCATTAAGATTCACTCCCCAAGTGATTCTAGATTATATCATGTTGATAATTAAAGCTAATCAATACCAGCTAATCAATACCCTTACCCCTACTCTCACTATCTCTGGTCGCCTTCTTCCCTTGACATAGTGTCACTGAGCTCTGCCTTCGTGTCTCATCACCCTGGCTTCCCCCACTACTACCTTTAAAGGCCTTCCTTTCCTCTCATGGACCCTTTCCTACTTTTGTGTCCTACATACAAATTCTTAAACACACACACACACGTATGCACACACGGAGACACACAAATTTAAGTCCGCCTATGAAAGAAAACGTGCAGCGTGGTGCCTTTCTGATTCTGTGATGCAGACTGGGATGACCAGCCTTTGAACGAGTGGAACCTGAGAAATGAATATCAAACCATAACCTCTACTTATGAGTGAGACCCTGAAGACAGAAGGCTCACGACCCTGACATGTGGAACACTACATGATTAGTAGAGGAGGTTGGTCAGATCAAAAAGGCTGACTGTATTCCTCATCCTAAGAAAGGCATCTTAACTTCTCTGACCTGAGAAAGTAAACATCTTGATCAATAAATCACCACGCACACATACAATAACCCCAAGTAAGGTATAAACATCCTTTGTAAGTGCCTTAGTTTACACCAGCTAAAAGCTACTGTTACTGTTTGTTGTCTACCTATGTTCTGATGCTTTGTATGCAACTGCAAAGCCATATGTAACTGCTAGTTCCTTTTCTGTATAAAAACTTGTTGGACTTCTAATAAAATGGACTTGTTGCTAGAGAGTCAAGCCTCTGATCTCACTGTCACGGAGCAAGGTCGCCCCCAAGGCAGGACCCCAGAAATTCTGGATTATTTCACTTACCCTAATGATTTCCAATTCCATGAATTTTCCTGCAAATATCCTGATTTCCTTTTCTTTATGGTTGAATAGAATTCCATTGTGTGACTAAATAACCAGCCCTGTGACCTGCGCAGGGGACTAATTCCACCTATCTGGGCCTCTTTTTTCTTCTTCTTCTTCTTCTTCTTCTTCTTCTTCTTCTTCTTCTTCTTCTTCTTCTTCTTCTTTTCATTTTTTGTCTTCTGGAGACAGGGTCTCCCTGTAGCCCCAGCTGTCCTGGAACTCACTATGTAGACCAGGCTGGGCTTAAACTCACAAAGATCCGCCTGTCTCTGCCTCCTGAGTGCTGGGATTAAAGGGAGAGAGAACGTCAAGGACACCCAACCCTGGCACCGAGTTAACTCTTGCAGCTGTGTTCAACAGAGTTCCTATGTAAGTCCAAACCGCCCCACCCTTCAATGCAGATACCT